TAGGAGGATTAGTGCTAGGATCCCTTATACTTGACCTTACGGCCATCAGGATAATGATGTTCCAACTTTCTGGCTTCTGCTATACACCCTAAACACTAAACCCTATACCCTGAACCCCTAAACCCCTAAATCCCCAATGAGACTCCCCCGACCACCTAAACCCACATGCAACAAGGCTCTATACCCAAAGGGTCCCAAGTCCCTGCGTAGTAGAATGTAGGGGTTTGTTTATTATATTTGGGGAAGTATCCCCCATAACACTACCGAGGACCCTTTCGGATACGAAGTCTACAACCAGAAAGCTTATAACCAATATATTGTGTTAGAAGAACTTTAGCCCAAATCTTGCAACGGCCAAACTCTACATCCTGAACCTTGAAACGCCAAAGCCCTAAGCTTTGGGTACTGCCCCCACTCAGTAACAGTTGGTTAATATTCATTATATCGATATATTGGGACCTTAATTGTATCTCTATTATAGACTGTTACTGCATGGGGGCAGTACTCAACCCAAACCCTAAACCCTGAGCCCTCAACCCTAAGCCCTAAACCCTAAACCCTGAACCCTAAACTAAACCCTAAGCCCTAAACACTTAGCCATGACCAGGACGGTGGATTTCTCGACGCATCCGGATCTCCAGATTCTCAGCACAAGCGGACCGACCGTGCCTTGGCTCTCACTTAAGTATACGGGGTTTAGGGTTTAGGGTTCAGTGGTTTAGGGTAGGGGCCCAAGCAGTTGCCAAGTTCCTTTTTGGTGGTTCCTTCATAGATTCATCGTATAAGATACCCCCAAACCGTAATACAATTCCTAAAGCCCCTATACTCTATACTATTGGCAAACAAGCTGTTACGTCCTACAGTCTCCATTGTAACATTGTAGTTCCTTCTTGGTTACCCAAGTTTAGAGTCTGGGACTCTGACCATAAAATTCGGCCGCCAAGGAAAAAGAACTGCAATGGAGACTGTAGGTAGGGTGTCTGGACGGTGTAGGGTTGGGGGGGCATGTAGGGACCAGAGTTGTTGCTCTACGGGTTCCACTCTTGCGCACATCTCTGCACGCTCCTGCTATCCCGGGGAGGCTTTGCGCAGGAATCCCTAAAAGAGCGCTGTGCAATCCTGGTATGCTGTAGTAGTATCTGTAACACTCAAGTTGTACGTTCGTACAAACCGTCGTGTTTTAGTTCCTTTTTGCATTGTAAGTGCGGAGTTATGAGTCTACCACAATCCGAAACTTCAGATCTTGAGAGTTTATAGACTTATACCCATAGGCTCCATTTTGGGGGTTCGTATTTAGAATCCTATGAGGTAATGCCAGCAAGGAGCTACTATGGAGCCTATTGTTAGTTTAGAAAAGATGCAAAGGTCCTTAACAATACACCCTAAACCACCAAACACTACTCAAGCCCTAATTAAACCAGAAACTCTAAACCCTCAATCGTACGGCACCTCGTGTTATGGAGCACGGTTTAGGGTTTTGGGGTTAGGGTTTAAGGTTAAGGGGTTTAGGGTTTAGAGGTTTAGGGTTTTCGGTTTGGCTTTTAAGGTCCAGGGTTCAAGGTGCAGGGTTTAAGGTTTTGGGTGTAGTGTTTCAGGTTTCGGGTGTAGGGTTTAAGGTTTTGGGTTGTTTTTCAGGGTTGAGGGGTAAAGGTTTAGGGTGCAAAGTTCATATACCATGTAGGGCTGAAAGGGTTGATGGGCCAGTGTCTTCAGTAGCTACCATGTCCTCAGGCATTGGTTCTTTAATTGTTTGTTCATATCAAACCCAACACGATAGTAGAAATAATGTGTATTATGGTTCTAACGGGGGGATAGGTAGAGGCTCCAGTCTTCCGAGCTTAGAGTAGAAGCCAAAAAGTTGGAACATGATTATCAACATGCCCTTAAGGGGAAGTAAAGGGAATCCCAGCATGAATCATCCTAAATCAATGTTCCGACCTTCTGGGGTTCACTATAGGGTGGGGTTTAGGTCAAGATTGACGGACCAGTGATGTCAAAGCCAAGTGTGACCAGACCGCAAGCAGGATGTAAACTTGAAGGCCCCTGCAGTCGCACTCGTAGTCAAATTCTATACAAACCAATCAGAACCCCAAATACAGGACCAACTCGAGTTTTCATGCAGGGTGTTAGGTTTTTAGGCGCTTTGGTGTTGAGTTGTGGTTTCTGATTGTCGGTGGTTTGGGGTTTAGCATGTGTAGGGTGCGCCGTTTAAGGCTATGCGCGGTTTAGTCGTGGACTTGTGAAACTAAGATTTTACCGGCTGTTGTGCTTGATTGTTCTTGCGAGTTTGTGGTCACCTAAGACCGCATTGTTGTCAGAATGACGAGGCGAATTTGAGAGTTGATTTGGGTGAGACTATATGTTCGTCCTGCAGACACGTGATTGTGCGAGGTGAAGCACAGCATTGCTGGCAACTGCAGCGTTACTTGATGCAGCGCGCTTGCCTGGCACCAACCTCGCGTACACCCTGCACACTGTAGTCCTGATCTGGGGAAGCAATGGAGAGCAGCCGAACATGTGCTGTCAGGTTTCACACGAGCGTGATCCAGTGGTCACTGTTTTCCATCCGCTGATCTGCGGTTCGAGAACTTTTTCGAGCACACTGTCTGTGGCGTCCGACCATCTCACATCTTTCGGTTTCGGGGAGGGCGGGGGGACTGGTTGGCTGCCAGGCTTTCAGCTTTAGTGATTCAGGGCGTGAGGTACTGTAGTATCCTTCGTTGCCCTGGTTGTTGGTCGCACACGCAGGAGGACGGTGCTTTCTATATGTATATAAACATGCCTCGTCGATGTCCGTTGCCAGCGGAGAAGTGCAACACATAAGCTCTGTAGCATTTCATTGAATCATGCTACGAGCATTATGAGTTCATGCTTGCCAGACGGAAAATTCGCAGCACGGAAAAATCGCAGCAGCAGGCCACTCCCACTAAACCCCAAACCCTTAAGCACAAACTCTAAACTCTATGACTCTATAAGCTTTCTTGATTGATTGTCTCAGCGTTCAGGGGTGTAGGGTATAGGATTTTTGACTATTGACCTCTCATCTACAGTTCAGTTTAGGCCCCAACCTGGCGCTTTCTTTGTGGTAATCTCGGTTTCAACACTGCCTCGTGCAGAACAACATTGAAACTGACTTGTGCCTCACAGCCCTAAACCCTAAACCCTACACCCTAACAGCCCTAAACCCGAAACCCTCACAGCCCTAAACCCTAAACCCTCATCGCCTTGAAAACACGACCTTAGCCGCCATTGCCAGAGCCGTTGACCCCTACGAGGGCCCTAAGTAATTAGAGTATGAGGTTCCTTTTATAACGGGTTGCTTTAAGGGATGCTATCCGGGTACTAGAAAGGTGTAGCATAGGGGTCGAAATGATTATCAGTACTATTGTCGGGGTTTCTGTTTATGGTTATAGTATATTAAAACCCCATTCCAATTACTAAGGGCCCTGTATTCAGGACGCAGAACTTGTTGAATCGTTCGTCTAAAGCCCTGGAGGAACGGAACATGTAAAGCCGACGTGGGAACCTCTATATTCCTGCATCCCAAGCCTCTTAACCCTGAACACTGAACCCTACACTCTGTGAGTCCTACAAGCCCTACATGCCCCATTTGAGGTTTATAACCCCAACCAGCACTACAGGCCTCAAAACAAGTATAAGCCCAAAACCCTACATACACCCTTTGTGAGCCCTAAACCCATAAGCCCTGTTCTCCTAAACCCGAATCCCGAAGCCCAAAAGCCCTGACCTTTTGTGGAAGTTTCAGCATCCCATCTCTAAACCCTTACCGAAACCCTAAACTCTTAGACTTTTGTGGGAAGTGTAGTATTTCATCGTTGAAGTCTTACACCGAAACCCCAAAAGCTTTAGCTTTTGTAGGAGTTGCAGCATCTCATCTCTCGGAGTCTATGCTCCTGAACCCGACCCCCAAACCCTAAACCCTAAGCCCCTAAACCCTAACCCCTAAACCCCTAAACCCGAAGCCCTAAACCCGAACCCCGAAGCCCTAAACTCGTTGACTTTGCAGCATCTCATCTCTGGAAGCAAAAGCTACGTTCGCCGGTCTTCAGCCGCCCCGGCGGTGCGGAAGGCAGCGTCTGAGCTCTCAGCTCAGGGCTCTGGGTTTAGGGATCCACCTGGACCCTAACAAACCTACCTTTTCTTGGGCTCCCTAATATGATGTCTTTCTCCAAGTCCTTAAAAAAGGTAGGCTACTTGGGGTTAAGGTCGGATTTAGGGATTGGAGCCAGAGATCAGGGTCGAGAGTGTTAAAGTCAAGTCTAGAGTGCAGGGTCTAGGTGTCACGGTTGGCCCTACATAGGCCCTAGGAGTCAGGTTTTCAAGGTTTCGAGTTGAAGGTTTTGGATTTAGTCGAGGGCTTCGAGGCTTCATGGCTTCAGGTTTTACTATGTTGGGCTTCCTTATTGTATTTTTGGTATAACGGGCCCCAAATATTGTTCTAGTTAGCTTGGCTGTTGGCTTGGTTTAGCCAGGGGTACTTTTCGAGTTTAGGGCTGCGGGATTGTTCGGCCGCTGCCTCGCATAATTCCTTGAATACACATGCAAAATCGCCCAAACCCTAATCCTAATCCCTTAACCCCAAACCCTTAACCCTAAAATCCCCAAACCCTAAACCCCAAACCCTAACCCCTAAACCCTAAACCCGCAAAAAGGGCCCTGCCACGGCTTTTCGAACAAGACTCCCCTTCCTAAATCCCGAAAAAGCCTACCCATAGGCTCCATAGTATTGTAGTTCCTTTTTTGGGATTACCTTATAGGATTGTAAATATGAACACCCAGAAGGAACTACTATGGAGCCTATGGGTACATGTCAACCCTGAGCCAAACCCTAAGACTCCAAGTCTACAAACAGTGCCTACTTTGGGGTTTAAAGTCTGTAAATGGCAGTAGGTGCTACTTGAAGCCTTAGAGAAACCGTATGAAGTCTAATCTTTAAGGCTTGAGCTCTCAGCATTAGGATCTGTGCAGGTCACAGCGCCATGCTGTGGCTCGCACTGCCTGCCATGCTGGGTGCTTGGCAGTGGCAGGGCAAAAGGGCCAGCACTGGCATCCCCTCATAGAGCTAGAGCTTCCATAAGTATACTTTAAGCTACCATACATGGCTGTTTCGTATCAACCCTAATAGAGATTGATTCGGACCTTACAGAAAGCAAGTGGGTTTTGGTAGTTCAAGTTGTGTACTACAACCCGCAAACCCATTGTGAAGGCCCCCAGGGTCTCGGTGTGCAAGCCAGGCTTTAGGGCTTCGGCTGTGGAGGGAGTAGGGGTGTTGCTTTGCCGTTGAGTCGTTGGGTTTAGTGCTCGGAAGGCACAATACAGGGATGCCGGGCTCTTGTTCGTTTCTTTTTTTAAGTTAGGATACTTCCAGAGCCTCGTTGTTAGTATTTGGGTTTGTCTTGTGCGCTCGGTATCCCAAGCAACACCCAAACACATGTGAACTGGGGCCTCGACAGAACCCTTGCCACCCGGGTCCTGCTGACTTCAGTATGCCGAGCGCAGCAAAACGCAGCCAGGGAGCCCTGTATCCTTTGGGGTTTAGGGTCTAGGGTTTAGGGCTTAGGCCCAAAGCCTCATAATGAGTCCTTCATGCTGAAGCCTAAACTCTAACACCCGTTCCGAACATCCCGCAACCTGAATCCCTAAATCCCCGAACCCTCAACCCAAAGCCATAAATGCTGACAACCCACCACGTACTCTCCCAAGCTTGTGCAGAGGTTACTCAAGAAGCCTGACATTCTTCCTCTAGGTTCGTTGGTCTCGTTATACGATTGATGATATATCTATCCCGCATTACCTTACTGACCCTAATTAGACTATGGGAACCATGGTATATTCCTGATTATGGGTAATGCAGGATTTATATCATCAACCGTACGATGGTACTCCGCAAAACGGCCAGTGCATTGACTATAAACCTTTTGTATCGTTCATTTGAGCCTTCTCAACCCGAAGCCCTAGATTCTTGAAGCCCGATCCTCCAACCCCTAAACCTACTATATCCAAACTGCTACCCAGATGTTCGAAACACTATTCAAGGAATACTCCTGAAACATTTTTGAGATCTGATTTGAACTTCCCTTTAAAACTTAAGGTATATACACGGAAGAGTCGCCAAGGTTGTACATGTTTCGGGGCCGACTGGCAAGCACGCTGGCGCCGATGGTAGGCTCCCTGGACCCACAGAGGCCATGCTTTCATTCGTTGTTGTTTCCTTCGCGCGAGAAGAGATTAGGGCCCCCAGAAAGCCCAACACACTTTATGGTACAGATTCCGAAGTCAATTAAGGGGTATTGGGCTCTCTGGGTTTTGGGGTTGAGGGGTTGGCGCTTGAGGTTGAGAGTTTGTGACTCAGACAATAGTAGTGTTGATAATCTTTGGACGGAGGGAATGTTAGCACCCTTGTAGCAGCCGTTGCACTATAACCCTTGAAAGGAGCGCTATCTTAATTATCAATAGGCTCCAAATACTCACTTTCAGAAAGGCCTAAACCCTAAACCCTAAGCATAAACACCATCAAACCCGGAAATGCCTTGAACTCGGGAGGACGGCCATGCTCGGGCATTTGCTGACTGTGGTCCTTGGCTTGCCGGGCACTCAGGTTTGGCCAACAGGAGATCCCCAGAGACTCCAAAATCCCTTATTTAAGGAATAGACCGTAAATTATCGTGGGACCCCCTATATGATTTATGGCATATTCGTTGATTAAGGGATATTGGAGTCTCAGGGTCCTCTATTAGGAATTATGTTGTTGTATTTTGCTTATGCTTTAGCTCCAGGGGATTAATAAGAAAATTGTTTTAATTCTGGCTCTAAGAGCGGCTAAGGATCAGCTCTTGAATATGAGAACTTGAAGTTTCTGTGGTGTGACTTGTCCTATTTTGTTCAAGTCTCGATTAACTATAACCCCAAGGGTCCAAGTACGTACCCAATAACCATATACTCACCCAAATATGAACCAACATAACTACTATCCTAAACCCAAGTACCTTGTTATTGGGTCCTTTGGACCCTTGGGGTAAGATAGGAGGCAGCAGAAGCATAGCGTAACCCCCGAAGCCCTATGTAGGCCGAATCCCAGACCCCAGCTCAAACTCTGCCTTTAGTCTTCCTTTTGGGGTTACCTTGCCCAAGAAAAGTTTCCTAAAACTGGAGCAAACCCAAGAAAAATTACCTAAGACTGGGTTAAACCCGAGAAAAGAATTACAGAACTAACTAACTAACTAACTAACTTTGTTCTGGTGCCGGCAGCCCCCAGATGGACAGGACACCACTGTGAGCCCCTTCAAATAAAAGAGGGGCAGCCATATGACATGAGTGTGATAGTGCAGCCAAGACAGGCGAGAGACAGCACTAAACAGCTCATGCAGTCGTCCAGTCAAAGAAGCAACCAACCGAGCCTGGACACGACCAAGCCAAAAGACAAGCCACCGAGGGCCTCAACTCACACACGCCAGGCACAGAAGAGCCTGTGTGGGCGAGCAAGACCCAGAGAGCAAACCAAGCGCACGGTGTCACGCCGCCAACGCCAAATAGCAGAGTCTGGGCAGGCAGCATGAAAACCATGAAGCAAGCAACCAACAAGCACGACCAAAGCAACCAAGTTAGGACTTCCACCTGGCCTTCCACACGCACTCTTGAATCCGTGCGAGCCAAGGAAGGATCACTTCCATCTTCTTTTTAGAGCCCCAACCAAAACGCTTAAGCAAGCGGCAACGCGGAACGGAAGGGCGAGCATCAACAAACGGGCACTCACGACACTCCCAACACAGATGGTGCCAGGTGCCCAAAGCACTGCACCACAAACAACGATCATCGAATGTATTTGACGCATGAAACCACGCAGGGCTCACGGTAGCGCCAAGAGCGACCGACCTGCAGCCTGGGTGCTTACACAAGCGTCGCATGCAATCGAATCAACACGACGAAAGACAACAGTAGAAACCGCGCCAATGTCCACGGCTTCGTGCCGATTTGACATAAAGAAGCGGTCCCAGCAACTTTCACGCCAAGCGGAACGGAGAACATGAAGCTGCCGCCGCACTTGTGCATTAGCACGAAGGCACAAACGAAGGCCATGCCTCTCCCATAACCAGGGAGCAGCTTCAGTCCAACCGCGCTCTTTCAACCATTTACGAAACGTCCACAAAGGGGTGTAGCGCACATCATTCCAAGCACAACTGCCCCTAAGGCGAAGCTGATGAAGCACGCGATACAAGTTGCAAGCGCTGCGCACATCGACATGGGAATTACCACCAAGCACAACAGCACGCAGCCACTTGTTACTCATCCAAGCAACCTTCTGCGCCCGCTTAACGGCCGCCCAAAGCTTGTTGCTGACCGCCCACGTAGGGAGACGAGCAATCCAACCGTAAGAAACAACGCTGAGGCAAAACATGTTGGCATATCTACCCAACCAGCTTCCTTATCATGGTCGGAGCGAGGCTTAGCGCGACTCACGACTCCAAGGAAAAGAACCTGAGCACACAAAGAGTCTTCATCAAAGTAAGGACGAAGCGCTCTTTGTTGAGCTGCCTTAGCACCAGCAAACTGTGCTTTGTCACCCGACTCAACCAAACCAGCACGACGCGACCACGTGCACCAAGCGTCATACTTAACACGCAAGAACTCAGGCCTGCCAGCAGTGAAAGTACGATCGTCCATAAAAATAGTCATCTCGCCACTGCTGCTAACATGACCAGGAAGAGTTCTGTCAAGAAAACGCGCACCCGCGCTCAACCAAACGGCACAAACCAAGGGACCAAAAGGATCCCCCTGCGGCATGGCCAAACGGGCTTGAAGAGGACTGTTGTCAACATGCCCATTCCAAGACTGCCATCTAACGTGGCGACACCATAAAAACCGACACAACTGAGTCATGCGACGATCAAAACCAAGCTTTCCCAGGATCGCAGTCGAAACCTCCGGTCTTAGAAGGTCAAAACATTTAGTATAATCCAAAGAAGCGCAATAACCATACTCGGCAAACGACTGTAAAACGAGCGCAGCAGCGACCTGAGGGTCCCCGCCCTTGCCGTAAACGACTGAAGGGAAAAGAATTGCAGAACTACAATGGAGACTATGAACCCTAAGGTTACTGGGGCACATAATCTAGGTTCGTGAGTTATTAGCACTCTTTTGCCCTGTTTCTTTTTGGGGTCCCTTAGTACAACTAACTACTATTTACGTAACTGGGGCCCTAGTCCCTGGTCGAACATAGACGCCTGGATAACCACTATCTGCTACAATTCCCTTGCTGCAAATACGGGATAAGTAGTACTTGTACCCCAAGGCCAAGGCTCTATTGGAATCGTACTCAGGCCCTTACATGATTCTTTAGAAGCTGCCCCCACCCTGTGATAGTGGTATAATAGGAATATAATACGGCCCGAATATAATCCTTCTAGTCACTACTACAGGGTGGGGGCCCCCTTCTAAATGATTCTGCCTAGTCTCAGATGTCGGGTTTCAGTTTCGTCCTTTTCGGTTCTGAAAGGTGTCGGCGATAGGCTTTGGCGACTGCGGGCTCGGGTCACAGGCAGACCTTAAGAATTCCGAAATCCTTGAAAAAACCCGGAAGTCTTCAAACTCCTGAAACCCGGAAGTCTTCAAACTCCGAAAAAAACCCGGGAGTTTTCAAACTCCGAAAAACCCGGAAGGCTTACAAGCTCAAGCTAGAACTCGTACCTACCTCCCCTTGCTCAGAAGCGGCTCAGTCTGTCATCCCTTGATCCCCCCGCACTAGCCAGTAAACGTTGGGGTTCAATAGTGAACCGCAGCAAGTTGGAACATGAATTTAGAATGATTCGTGCGGCCATTCCCTAGACTTAAATGGGACATAGTTTTAGAATGATTCGTGCGGAGAAATCCTGTACTTCGCTTTTATGGGCATGAGGATAATGATGTTCCAACTTCTGGCTTCTACTGCAGGGTGTAGGTTGTTACGGTTAAACCCCCGGTTCCCTACATTCAAAATTGAAATCCCACCTAAGTCCCAAAGCCTATCACGCTGCGTCCCAAACTCCAAACCCTGTGCATCAAAATAGCCCAAAAGCTTTATATAGTATGGTCTTTGGGCCCACAGGCCTTAATATATGAGTCCTTACAGTGCTCGGGAAAGAGACAACAATCTCAACGGTGGATGATATAAATCCTGCATTACCTTAAGGACCCTAAACTATGGGAATTATGGTATATTCCTTATTATGGGTAATGCAGGATTTATATCATCAATCGCAGGATCTACATCGTGCCCTTGGAGTTAGTGGGCCTTCGGGTTCGGGCCTCGGACAGCAGGGCACTTAGAGGGTCATGGGACTTAGTAAGTAGGTTATAATTGGGGTTATAAGTCCCCTAAGTGGGGTTCTCCTAATTATATCCTACTTATAACCTTACTTACTAAGTCCCATGAGCCTTTAAGCAGGGCAGTTTTGATTTACAAGAAGCCTGGTGTGAACTACTTCCTTGGGGTTCCGATTGCCGCAGGCCCCTATGTATACTATGCCTACAGGTAAGGTTCATGGTTTCGGATTTGGGACGCAGGTTTAGGATTTGCATAGGGCCTGTTTTCTTTCTACTGTCGGGTAAATCTTCTACCTGGACCCGAAAAGTATGTAGAATAATCGCCTTTTTTTGATATTGGGCCATTATTTTACCTAATTTTGGGGGGGTTTAGGTAGGGTTTACTGCTCCCGTTTCAGGTCTGGGTTGCGCGTTACGTCTTGGGCTTTCGCCAAGAGGTTCGACCGAAATCCGAAAAGCCCCGTCTTGAACCTGTCTAGACCCGAGGCAGGGCACCTACAAAGCCCTAAACCCTAGACCGTAAACTAGGATGCCCAGTAGTACCCTTATTCCCTTTTTGTAGTCCTAGGTTCCTTATTAACTTACCCAATCCCAAAAAGGGAGCCCTTTTTATTCCTAGGTTACTGGGCATCCTAGAAAACCCTAAAGCACAACCATGCAGCCGTCTGGGCTGAAGGTGTAGAGGTGTGTGGCTGGGCGGTTACATAGCAGACCACGCGACTTCGTGGAGTTTAGCGTTGAGTGTTTAGAGTTGGTTCTTGACAGTTGAAACCCTAAACCCTAAACCGACAGTTGAGTCTTTCGTTTTGGGCGCTTCGGGCTTGTTTGCCACGGAGAGGCTCGAAGTCCTTGCCCGAACTCTGGGGCTTATATAGGGAGTTCTCCAAATGAGGGTCCCCTTGTTTGTTCCTTTCTTCAATGGTGCGGTACTATTAATTTAGAGAACTACCCATGTATTACCTGTATAGAGACCCCATTGAAACCCTTGTAGAAACTCTATAGAAACCCTTATAGATCCCTTCAAGGAGCCCCAAAAGGGATTTCATAATTTAGAGAACTGCCCATATCGTACCCTTACAGAAACCCTATATTTAAATCCCATAGCCCCTCATCGAAACCCTATAGTACCCCTTATCGATCCCTTCAAGGACGAACCTTAAAAGGGAGTTCATGATTTAGAGAATTCCCCAATATCGAGCTGAACGTCAACTCAGCTCCCGCGGCAGGCAGTCAAGCGGCCAGTCTTCCTCTTGAGGCTGAAAGCCGTTTCTGGGTTCGGGGGTTGAGGGGTCTAGGGGTTTAGGGGTTCAGGGTTTATAGGGTTTAGGGGTTCAGGGGTTGGGGTTTAGGGGT